CTGTCGATATCCCTTTGAGTTCTGCCGACGGGCCTGTTTGGATAAACGGAACTGGAAGAGGTCCCCAATTGATCATCCTTGACCCTGATATTTGACTGGTACCGATTATGTACATCGGCCCAGGTTACCGCTAGATATTCAATTAAATTATGTTTTAGCTGTCGTGATGCCACCGGACTGCGTTCGTTCAAACCCTGAGTAAACACTTGACCAACCCAATCATCTGTGACCGGTGGTAGTTCCATGTGTTCCATCTGGAACCGAGATACGAATTCCCTCAATATTTCGTTGTCCTTTTGTTTCACCTTGAAGAGGTCCGACTTCCTAGTTGCAACCTTTATTGCTCCGGCATGTGCCTTTACGAAGGAGTCTGCAAACATGGCGAAGGAATCAATGGAATTAGGCGGCAAATTATGGTACCATATCATTGCTCCTTTCGGCAAGGTTTCTCTAGATTTCTTCGGTAAAACAGATTCAATCTCATTGTCTTCCAAGTCATTCCCTTTTATTGCATATGTATAAGAAGTGACATGCTCATTAGGGTCGGTGGTCCCATTGTACTTAGGAATTTCTGGCATTCGAAATTTTTTCGGAATGGGTTTCGGAGCCACACTTAGAGGGAAAGGCTTCTGTACGAATTTCTTTGAATCCATACCCTTTAGAATCGGCTGTGCCCCCGGTATTTGGTCAACTCAGGAGTTGTATGTCTCTACTTTTTTGTCATTTGCCTCTATTTTCTTTTCTCCCGATTCAATCCGTTTAGTGAGATCCTCGAGCATTTTTATAACAGTGGGGTCAGTCCCCGATTTATTGGCGTTCGACCTTTCCGGCACAGGCTCGGTTCTGTGGACGACTTCTGGTTCGATCTTACTCGATGTTCGGTGCTGATTCTATAGTTGTGCTATAGCGGCTTGTTGAGCCTGTAACATTTCGAATATCAATTGGAGGCTAACTCCACCATCTTCTCCGCCCTGCGTACCTCGACCACCTGATCAAATTTCCCTGCGTACGCTACCTTCGGGTTCAATGCCCAAATTTGCATTTAGGGCGACATGTGAACTGACATCGATGGGATTTGCAATTGGTGCTTCTTCGAGGTCAGCCTGAGGCACCTCGATCCCTGAGGCGGCTATATTATCATTTTCCCCGTGAAATCTGAGGCCCTTGTCACCATGTGTAGGTGCTGCTTATGAGTTTGATATATTTATCGTGAAAACAAAGATTCTTACGAGAACAAGTGTAAAGCAGTGTGTGTTATCGGAATCAGTATTAAGCAATCATTATTATCATTGGCCCTACGGTGGGCGCCAAACTGTTTACCCTTTAAATTGGATAACAGTTAAACTTATAATGTGGTCTTAAGGACACGTGATTTCACCCAATACCAATTGATAAATGTGAAGATTAATGGAACTCAGCCCTCGAGTTTGGATACCCTCGAACTGGTTGATGCAAGAACAATTAAAGTATAACAAGCTGATGAACAATAGTATAAACGAGAAAGAGAATTATATTGATTTTATATCTGTCAACCGTGTCCTACAAATGATTAGAACCCCCTTTATATAGTAGAGAATTTTTATTTATGGTATGATTCTAATTACAGAAGAAAATCCCATGATTAGCTAATTAACCGTTTCTGATTTGATTTGTTCCGAGATTTACGCCATGATCCTCGACCAGTCACCGGAGTTTACGCCGTGATCCTCGACTAGTCACATATATCTCGCCTTTCTGTTATTATGCTATCTTCGATCTTGCTCGATGTCTGTCTCATTTGGCTTCGATCGCTATTAGTCTCGATCTCGACCGGTACCTCGGTTCTGAACTCGGTACCTAGTCCTTGTGATTTAGTCTATTCCGTTACGAGGCCGTCCTTCGATGCAATCTTCTGGTCTCGGTCAAATAGTAAAATTGGGTGGGTCCGATTTTAATCGTATACATGTATATTTAGTGTAAAAAGGTTTTTAAGTTTGTCGGACTATCCATGGACCATGGTGCTACAAGTTTTCCCTTTGAAAATGCAAGAAAATTGTTGGAGTTTTAGGTTGTGTTTGGCATCAACGAGAATATTTTTCAAAATTGTTAAAAAAATATTTTCTCC